TTGATTGTGGCGGGGTGCTCCGCCCGGCGGGCTAAATTTTCTGGGAATATTGAAGGGTCAAAACAACTCAGTGAAAACACCAAAGCCAACCCCTGAAAAAATTTAAGCGGAGGTGAAGACAAAAAAATTTGTTTACATAATCTTTTGGTGTGGTGGTTTTGTTTAAAAATTTTTTTTTTTTTTTTTTTTCAGAACAGCCGTTTTAAGGAAATTGTTTGACATTAGATTCACTGTAGTTTCTCACGCGCTTGCTAACCCATCAGGATGGCTTCCAGAACCGCGTCAAGAAATACTAACTGCTTTTCCTCACCGAATCTTACGAACACGATTAGAGACCAGACAGTCTATAAAGAGGGGTGAGGTCTCAAAATTTCTCAGCCTTTTTTTTATTTAGAGTCTCGGGTAATTATTAAATTTTGGAGAACAAGTTTCGTTCCAAATGCGGACAGTAAAGAAAATGAGGTACTTTAAAATTAACCTTTATTGTTTAAAGAAAAAACTGAGTATCGTACTAGTACTACACTGCCATGATCGGAGCTTTCGGAAAAGCCAAAGCACTCGGGCAACCTGGCAGCGCCCGTGATAAATTATGGCAGCAGCGGTAAAGAAAATACAAGCGCAAGGAAGATGCGCGCGGTGGTGCGAATTCAAATCAAAATTCGTGGGAATCAACGTTAACGATCGCTACAAGCAAAAAAAAATCTTTTTTGCTTTACTCACCAAAACAATGGGTTAACAACACCTAATATTTATGCCGAATAATGTATACGTTTAGTTTCCTTTTACTTTTATTCTGCTCTCGACCTACTAGCGGAGATTTGATCGCGAAAAGTAGCATCACTATTTGTGAAAATACAGGCGGCGCAGATGATCCGATGAGTGTAGTGTACGAAAAAGCATGTGAAAAGAAGCTTATCGTGACGATGTCAGTCCGCAGTGGGCAGGTAAGATAAGCTGTATATTTTAAGTCTCACTATGTGTTCTGTAAGTCTGCGTTTGACGAAGAGTTTCAAACATAACTGAAGAGCTACAATCAAAGTAATAACCTTAGGCTTATGTAAAATTTTTGAGATCAAAAGTATATTCAGTGTTATGCAATCGCTGTAAAAAAGATTTCTTTTATAAGGAGTATGTTAAGGAAAATGATCAGAGTACAGTGTAGTTTAGTGTAGTTTTCAGTCATAATTCCTTAACCAATAGGACCTCTCAGAACTTTAAATCTTTCGAAAGGTTTCATCCTGTGTAAAATTTATCTTTAGAATGGTACAGAGATGCTGAAAACAGTGTCGAATGTGAGCAAAGTTTATGATGAAGTTGAAAGGGAGCCAGCTCGCCTCTACAATCCATTTATTATTACACTCACCAAGACGCCTGTCCATTTAACATATCCTTATTACTACAGAGGGGTAAGTTTGTAGCCAATATTTAATATTGTAAATTTTAGGCTCAAATTTGCTTTCTTCCTGTGGCAGAAAAAAGTGACCTTCATAAATGTATTATTATTATTATTATTATTATTATTGTTATTATTATTGTTGTTGTTGTTGTTGTTGTTGTTTACTCAGGATTTGCCCCTTCAACAGGGCCTGATATAAACATGGGTCCTGATAAATTAAAATGATATTTAAGAATTTGGCAAAACTGATATGAAATTGTAGATACTTGCCAGTGAACTGTACAAGAAAATAACAAACCAAATATTAAACAGCCCTCAGCATCTTTCTGGACTGAAATAATGATTTGCACTGTTTTACTGCAGAGTCCATGGACGAGCTCATTATAGGTCCTCATGTGTGCTCCTTGTACAACAAATAAAAGAGATTCTGTGGGTACACATCGTTCAGTTGAGGCCCTTGTCAATTTTAAAAGCTGCATAGATGTTGTTGTCACCTATGAAGTGATTTAGTCTAGCCAAGCTGTGACACTTGGCCTTTGACAAATCCTTCTCTTAACACAACCCTTTGATTCCTTTCAAGTTTTTGCTCCTAGGGTAGACCCCACACTGCTCCAATAGATATCACAATACTCCAAAATTTTGTAACCAGAAGATATGTTGCTGATGGGGACTGGTATGCCCATAGTTAAGGTGTTCAATGGAAGCAGGTTTCGATTTGTCAGTTTCAGGAACTTGCTATCACAAGTTGCAGTTAAAATTGAATATTAGCCAGATTGTCTGGTTCTTTATCTTTTCAATTATGGCATGGAATCGTATCAATTCAGAAGCATAGTTTGTTCTGCAGGCCTCCACATTATACTTCTATTCATTTATTTATTTATAAATAATTTATTTATTTATCAACTTGCCTATCATTCACTTAAGACTGAAGTGTTTTGACTCAAACCCATACCATGATATTGGTGATCAAACAGCCCTGATCTGCCACATTCCTCTTCATGAGGGGACAGCTTTTTTCCCCCTAATTTTTATGTCATTATTATTGTTATTTCATTCAAGACTGTAAACAACTACTCCTAAGGATTCTACCGAAAAATTTTGAGGGTGTTACATGCAGCTACATCGGCGCTAGAACCGCCACCCGCCGACTAAAATTTCCCGGGAAAATTACAGAGTTGAGACAAATAAGTGGAAAATCTAAAGCAAGCGTCTGGAGAAATGTAAGCGCAGGTACGGCCCCCAAAATTTGTTAATATAATCCTTTGCTGTGTAGCTTCAGTTTACAAATCGTTTTTTTCTTCAGAACAGCCGTTTTAAGGATATTATTCGACATTAGATTCTCATTAGATTCACTGTAGTTTCTCACGCGCTTGCTTACCCATCAGGATGGCTTCCAGAACCGCGTCAAGAAATACTAACTGCTTTTCCTAACCGAATCTTACGAACACGATTAGAGACCAGACAGTCTATAAAGAGGGGTGAGGTCTCAAAATTTCTCAGCCTTTTTTTTATTTAGAGTCTCGGGAAATTATTAAATTTTCGAGAACTAGTTGTGTTCCAAATGCGGACAGTAAAGAAAATGAGGTACTTTAAAATTAAACTTTATTGTTTAAAGAAAAAACTGAGTACCGTACTAGTACTACACTGCCATGATCGGAGCTTTCAGAAAAGCCAAAGCACTCGGGCAACCTGGCAGCGCCCGTGATAAATTATGGCAGCAGCGGTAAAGAAAATACAAGCGCAAGGAAGATGCGCACGGTGGTGCGAATTCAAATCAAAATTCGTGGGAATCAACGTTAACGATCGCTACAAGCAAAAAAAATCTTTTTCGCTTTATTCACCAAAACAATGGGTTAAAAACACCTAATATTTATGCCGAATAATGTATATGTTTAGTTTCCTTTTACTTTTATTCTGCTCTCGACCTACCAGCGGAGATTTGATCGCGAAAAGTAGCATCACTATTTGTGAAAATACAGGCGGCGCAGATGATCCGATGAGTGTTGTGTACGAAAAAGCATGTGAAAAGAAGCTTATCGTGACGATGTCAGTCCGCAGTGGGCAGGTAAGATAAGCTGTATATTTTAAGTCTCACTATGTGTTCTGTAAGTCTGCGTTTGACGAAGAGTTACAAACATAACTGAAGAGCTACAATCAAAGTAATAACCTTAGGCTTATGTAAAATTTTTAAGATCAAAAGTATATTCAGTATTATGCAATCGCTGTAAAAAAGATTTTCTTTTATAAAGAGTATTTGAAGGAAAATGATCAGGAGTACAGTGTAGTTTAGTGTAGTTTTCAGTCATAATTCGTTAACCAATAGGACCTCTCAGAACTTTAAATCTTTCGAAAGGTTTCATCCTGTGTAAAATTTATCTTTAGAATGGTACAGAGATGCTGAAAACAGTGTCAAATGTGAGCAAAGTTTATGATGAAGTTGAAAGGGAGCCAGCTCGCCTCTACAATCCATTTATTATTACACTCGCCAAGACGCCTGTCCATCTAACATATCCTTATTACTACAGAGGGGTAAGTGTGGAGCCAATATTTAATATTGTAAATTTTGGGCTCAAATTTGCTTTCTTCCTGCGGGAGAAAAAAATGCACCTTCTTTAATGTATTATTATTATTGTTGTTGTTGTTGTTGTTATTTACTCGGGATTTACCCCTTCAACAAGGCCTGATATAAACATGGGTCCTGATAACTTAAAATGATATTTAAGAATTTGGCAAAATATGAAATTGCAGATCCTTGCCAGTGAACTGTACAAGAAAATAACAAACCAAGTATTTAATAAGCAGCCCTCAGAATCTTTCTGGACTGAAATAATGATTTGCACTGTTTTACTGCGGAGTCCATGGAGGAGCTTATTATAGGTCCTCATGTGTGTTCCTTGTACAAGAAATAAAAGAGATTCTGTGGGTACAGATCGTTTGAGGCACTTGTCAATTTGTCAATTTGTCAAAATTGCATAGATGTTGTTGTCACCTATGAAGTGATTTAGTCTAGCCAAGCTGCAAGGGCACCCAACGACTGTTTTCTGTAAAATATCTGTTTGGAGAAGCAAATATTGCCTAGAATTTTCTGTTACTTGAGGACGGCTAAGATTTCTAGATGACCATTACATTCAAGTACAATTTTTGAATCTTATCTAATATCTTCCCTACGATTTTCTGAAGTTTAATTTTAGCATTTTATTTCCCAAGTTAGGCTATTTTTCGTAGAAAAAAGGAAACCTAAAATTTTCAGATTCAAAAATGTGATGGAGAAAGGAATTAGAAAATGTTTCACTTTCGTAATACGTCAAATTTCATCTAAAATTTTTGGGAAAATAATACTCAAAGCCTTGAAATTTCGAAAAGGCTCAAGTTCCCCTAGGATGACCGAACAGATACAAAGTTTACAGTGCCGCTTAGAATGCTTTTCTAGAGATCTAAAAGTATTCTGGATAGGCTAAAAAGTGTTTTCAATGCATTTAGGAGGAAACTGTCGTTAGTTACCCCTGAAGCTGTGACACTGGGTCTTTGACAGATCCTTCTCTTAACACAACCCTTGCTGTTCTCTTTTGATTCCTTTCAAGTTTCGCTCCTAAGGTAGACCCCACACTGCTCCTGCAGATATCACAATACTCCAAAATTTTGAAACCAGAAGATATGTTTCTGATGGGGACTGATATGCCCATAGTTAAGGTGTTCAATGGAAGCAGGTTTTGATTTGTTAGTTTCAGGAACTTGCTGTCACAAGTTGCAGTTAAAATTGAATATTAGCCAGATTGTCTGGTTCTTTATCTTTTCAATTATGGCATGGAATCGTATCAATTCAGAAGTAAATGTTCTGCAGGCCTCCACATTATACTTCTATTTATTTATTTATAAATTATTTATTTATGAACTTGCTCTTAATTCACTTAAGACTAAAGTGTTTTGATTCAAACCCATACCATGATATTGGTGATCAAACAGCCCTGATCTGCCACATTCCTCTTCATGAGGGGACAGCTTTTTTCCCCCTAATTTTTATGTCATTATTATTGTTATTTCATTCAAGACTGTAAACAACCAACCGGTAGAGAAAGTGAAAATCAGTAATAATGGTGCCCTTGCGACAGGGTCACGTAATCTCTGTGATGACATGTGGGGATCTGACGAATCTACATGTGGCTTTGACAAGGATGCAGATGGTAATGCAATATGGGATAGTCAGGTAAAACGGAGAGTGCCTCACTCACTACATAAAATGTCTAGAGTAGTGTGTTATTTACGTTAGTATTCCATTTCCCTACCCTTTGATATACTTTACAGAGGCGGCAGAGTGTTGTGAAACGTGGGGTGGGGGGGAGGGGTCATGTTTCACTCAGCCATACGCATACCCCTACTCAAATTTTCCAAAATGCCCTTGGCATTGATCGTTGGTACAAGCAACCTTGTAGACCCTCCTGCCCCTACTCTGCCGCCTGTGCTTCAACTAGTTAAGTCTCTACCTTTTCGAGCATAGCCTCTCAGCCCTGGAAACGTCGTAATAGGGAGTGCCTCCCCCAGGGGGTTCAAACCATTGACCGTTCAGTAATCATTACCAATTTTCTTGTTGTCAATGAAGGGATTTTGCTGCTGGTGCAGTGAACAGGACAAATGGCGAGGCTCGTTTGGGGATGAAACTCCTTTCAGTCGAGCAGGGCTTGCCTGCAAAGTTTTCACTAAGGCCCAGGCTGCAGCTCACTGCATGAAATATGATGACTTGTGGTATGTAGGTTGTTTATCACCGCTAATAGATAGCAGAATAGAATTCAATAGACTACATTCTGAACGCGGCTGACTAAACACACTGCATAGGACATGTATTTTCTTGGAAGAGTAGGTATCGTCATAAACTGCCTGCCTTCCCTTATAACCCGTGCCTGGCGCTCCTCGCTCGCTTCACGCTTGTCTTCGCTCGTGTAAAAATAAGCTGGGATCAGGTGGTCAGGCGATCCTTTTTTCCCTTTTTGGGGGAGACCTAAAAAATGCGAAAAAATAACGACTGTTCTGCGGGCTAGTATGGTCAAAACACTGCAAGTCACTGAGCGTAACTGAGTGTGAAGTGCAAAAGGGCAATGTTTGCTGGAGCGCTTTCCATTTGCTAGGAAGTCCAGTTAAAATGAAAGAGTCCTAGTGATACTGCTAAATTCCATGCACTGAAGATAGAATTTCAGCTGCAAAATTCGAGTTTTCAATCGAAAAATAACGTAGTTATTGGGACAAACGCGCCAAAATAGACTGTAAGAGCCGCTGGACTGACTTGGTTTGACACACGGTACATGCTGGATTATACGAGCATTCCGACTGGAAAGGAAAAAAAGGAATACTCATGCTTAATACATTTGCGAATTCCCGAATTTCTATCACTTCCGGAAACGTTTAAACTCAAAGGATCTCAGGGAGTTGTACTATTGCTTCCTAATGGTAGACGCTTCTTTTTCTATCGATGATTTTCTATGTTTGTTAGTTTGTTTTTATCTTATTTTAATTTCAGGTACACTGTAAATGAACTGGGAAGGTGGGAAATGGAATTTGGGATTCATGTGAAAACGTATGATCAAGTGACGACAAAGGTGGGAAATATAACCAAACCTAAGTGGGTCCCTGGTGGGGAGATTGTCATTGGACCTCATGTACGGATGGGAAGAGGCAAGTACGGTAGGGTAAGTCAGTTATTGTCTTGAATTAGCCAGCTCCCATCCCTGGTGGACTTAATTCACTTTGCCAACCCAAGCGGTGGCACAAGCGCATTTGCGTGTGAACTAGGCGAATACATGATGTGATTTAACTTCAGGCCTCCTTGCTTTAGAATTAAAAATAAGAGTTTTAATGCTTTCAGGTGGGGGAAAAAACAAGTAACATCTTCTGAAAAGATTTTAGGAGGGTTAAAAGCCTTTTTAAAGTTTGCAAAGGTTTAGAAAGGTCTCTGATTTGAAAAATATGTAATTAAGTTCTGAAAGTTAAGTTCTTTTACCCGTCCTCATAGACCTAAGGGGTTTGAAACGGTTTTGGAAGGTTTAAAACAGAGGCTTTCGAAGGACTTGAATTTGAAATATTTCTTTAGGCTTGAAAAGCTGTTATTTCAACTCACTGTGAGTCTTTGGGTTCTCTACTGTCTTGATGTTAATAAAGAAGAGAGTAACAAGGACAGTGAAGTAATTCTAACTTCTCTTACAGCTTCTTGCAAGTTATATCGGCGAGTTCCAGACCCACAGGCAATTTCCAACCTTGACGGAAAAGTACCTTCTTATTCCATATGTCAGTGCTAAAATTGATCCCAAGACACACCCACAGGTGTTGGTAAGAAAAAGTGGATGTTTTACCATCTGTTTAACTAAATTTTTACAATTACTGAGCGATTTCTCCCGCGCTTATTGGTCGAGAGCTTAATGTTCGATAAGAGTACAGACAGTGGAAATCATGACGTGACGGTGGCGCAACTTGTTTTTCTGTCGCGTGATTTTCCGAGGAACTTCAACGGAAATGGACGTCAAAACTGACAATAATGAATATCATTGTAAAAAACAAATCGACAAGAATAATTTTACATGGACTGCACTCTTATCGACCATAGAAATGACGTCAAAATGTCCAAAACTCAAGTGGAACGACGACGCCGCAAAGTTTTGAACAAAAAACTATTTCTAGACTGTTCACAGTCCCCTATTTTTCCGTATTAAAGATCCTCGAAAACGAGCACTGCATGCAGTACAGCCGGCGATATTAGGCTGATTTAGCAACAGAACGGGAACGTCAGTTGACGACGGCGCGCGCAAATCAAACAACTGGCTTGACCAATGGCTGAGCGGCAAACTGGGCACCGGGAGTAGAGTTTAGTCCTTTTCGCGCGCTTTGCCGTGGTCAAATGACGTTCCCGTTTTGTTGCTAAATCAGCCTATTATCTAGTAACCCCGATGCCCGCCCCTTAGGTACATCTGAAACAAATTATCCAATTACAAAAACGGTCAGCGACGGTGATTGTTTGATCTCGACGATCTTGAGGAAAAAGAGAGCACTGTTTAAAGTCTAAACCTTTTCTTTTTTAAAAAATTCATCCTGCAGGGAGGACCAAGCGATTACATGATAATCGACAAACACGAAGTGAACTACAAACCGACCGGCCCTCATGAGTGTGACAAGATTGGTGTTACTTACACGGCCTTCAGGAATCAACAACCTGCAGGCTGCCACCAGAAAAAGGGATCGTAAGTTCATTACGCGGATGAAGAAATATGATGTGGCACGATGACGTTTCATATTAACAAAGCGCAAACAAACTACTAAATTCTGATCGTCTTTGTATTGTCCCGGATGTGTATTAACTGACCTTGCGACGCTTTGAAAAACCGGTCTCATTCTTGCCGCACTTTCTCGTGGTGACGCGGGTGCCTGTGCGACAGCTTATATTTTCGCGTCGTATGAAATGAGATGAGATATAGAATATTAAGCACGTTAATCCTTTCACTGCCAGAGTGGATGTTGGAGTTTGTGAGGTAGTTCTAACTTTTACGTCTGTGGACAAAATCTTATAGATGGTTCGACCATTCAAATGAAATCTCTTTGGAAGTACTTTCATGTGGTGTTATTTGTTTTAAAAAAATTACAAAATGAAATTTGGGATTTTTTTCGAATTTGCCTTTGGTCATATTTGGCAGTGAAAGGGTTAATGTTTGTTTTTCTGTCTCTTTTCTTTAGATGTTTAAATAATCAGCCCAGAACATATTTTTATGAAGATACGGTAAGTCTCATAGAAACAAGAAGTGAATTTCTTGCCATCTCGCCAATGTTTTATATTAGTGTGGCCCTGGAGGAGATTTTTTTATTCATCTTGCTTAACAATTTTGTCCCGCAGTTCACCGAGGCTAGTTCTGTTTCATGGGAGTGCTCAATTAATTGCTATTCTCGTGCCAACGTTGAAAATTTCAACCAGTAAGCTCAGTCTTGTTCAAGGGGATTCTATTTCCTCTATCTGTCTCAGTGAAATAGTATTTTGGGGTGAAAGCCTAACCAAGATTTGAGGACAAATCAGTTCTTGGAAGCTTGGGAATTTTCAAAGTACTCTCTGTGTCCGCAGGCTCGTCGCACTCTTGGAATGACCCCACTTCACTTTCCGGAGAGATATGGCAAGTTGGTTGGTGTTAAAAACCGTCCAAAGGGGGATGAGCAGGAGTTCATGCTGACATATGAGATAGACGAGGTTATGACGAGTCTGGTGACACTTCAGATTAGTGCTGATGACATCATCCTCATTTACAACAGGTTACAATAAAAATTCCTCACTTTGACGCCAATAGCGGCAGTAGCCCCACAGATCTTAATTTCACTCACCAGAGGCGGTGTTTTTTCTTGAATCTCATAATACGCGTTCACAACGTCGCTAGAACTAGTAGAAGGTTACTCTCCAGGCCCCAGTTGTTGAAAAGGTGGATAGCGTTATCCACATGACAATTCACTATCCAGTGAATAAGTAGTCGGAATATCCACTGGAAAGAAATTTATCCGGTGGATTGCGCTATGCACATTTGAAAAACTGGGACTTGGACCCAGTTCCTGAAAGGTCAATTAGCGCTAATCCAGGATTAGGATTTTGTTCCAGTTGTGTATTTACCTTCCTATGTGACCCTATGTGTTACTTAGAGTAGCATTTTCTGTTGTCATTACTGTATCTCGGAGTAAAGGCACGACAATAGTTGCATGACCTTAGACTGTGAACCTTGCTTAAAATTTGGTTTAATCCTGGCTTAAATATCTGAACAACCGCGGCCAGAGTTTTTATGTCGTGACTCAGATTACGTAAGCACATCATCTGATAAACGCACTGTGTGAATGACGCCCGTGGGCAGACTCCGCATATGAAAGGGGTGGGGATGCTCGTCGGAAATTTTGAATTAAACCCCTAAAGGAGACTGATCTGGGCGTAGCCTAGCCTTTTTTGGCCCCTAAAAGAGACCAAAAAATATACATGTCAAATATATATTTTTTCGCGTGCAACCCTAAAAGAGACTTTCACGGCTAAATATGATGGCGTTTTGCCCAGAACACCCTAAGTGAGACCAAAATCCGAAATTTACACCCCTAAGCGAGACGAGGAGCATCCCCACCCCTTTCACATGCGGAGTCCCCTCCCCCGGGGAGGAAGACGATGTAAAAGAAGCTAAGAGAAAAAGGAACAAATAAATCTTGCATGACATGAGACAGCTCATTACTAACTGATTGTTTTATCTGGCTTAGGGCTTCTGGTAAAATCCTGAAAGCTTATGCACAAGACTTTGAGGCTCTGTCGAAAGATGGTCACTTGTATGTTATTGTTCAAAATACTGGTTACGTCACTGCGGACTTCTCAGTAAGTGAGACCACAGGACTCCCAAGTTCATAAGAAGAACCGGCCGTGAACAGACAGACGGCTAGTTGATTCACACTCAAGATTTAGAAAGAGAAACATAATTTCAACATAATCACATGTCATGAACACTTATCGACTGAATGAATTGTTTCTTGTTTGCAGGTGGTGATATCAGAATGCTCCGGCGCGATAGGAAAATTTCGCGAAAAGGTTTTGTCTATAAATCCTCAGAAAACTCACTTATTCACGTTTGATATCCATGCGTATGACATGAAAGGAGGAAGTCACTATTGTGCTGGTAAGAAAGCAAAAGAATTAAAACGGTATTTTCCTTTCTCTCTATGGATTAAACGTCAAGACGACTTGAGCGTTAATATCAATGAAAAATTGACATCAACTACAGCGGCACCCAGTGACCGTTTTCCGTAAAATGTCTGTCCGTAGAAGCAACGGTTATCGAGAAATTTCCACACTTTGAAAACGATGGCCCCTGACATGCTGAGCACACTTTTATAATTATTACCTTTACGGGTTATATTTAACAATTATACCACGAGCCTGAATGGGCTTTTAGTCAATAGCTCATTAGGCCGAACGCCGAATGGGCTATTNCGTTTTCCGTAAAATGTCTGTCCGTAGAAGCAACGGTTATCGAGAAATTTCCACACTTTGAAAACGATGGCCCCTGACATGCTGAGCACACTTTTATAATTATTACCTTTACGGGTTATATTTAACAATTATACCACGAGCCTGAATGGGCTTTTAGTCAATAGCTCATTAGGCCGAACGCCGAATGGGCTATTTACTCAGAGGCCATGAGGGCGAGAGGAATAATTGTTTTAGTCAAATCCAACTGGATGGTCAAAAATATCGAGACAAAACAACTTAAACCAAGACTTTCATCTTTTTTTGCCGGCAAAAATCCGGCGCTTTTCGCTACGTAGTGGGCTATAACATGTAGCCTAGTAGTAGCTCAACCAATCAGAACACAGCATTGATAATAGACTACTAGTTGGATTTTACTAAATGATAGTATCTGCTTATCATTTAAGGTCTTTTTGTCGTCATTGCTCATGAAGGCTCTGCAAATTTCACCACTTTTCATTCTACTCGTATGTAATACACTGTTCTTATATGACTTGAATATGGATCAAGTGAAGTCGAGAGTGACCTCATCATCCGGCATGACTCACAATGAAGATCTCGCGTTTTTCATGTTCATAATACCGGCCTTTTTTGTGGAATAAATTTAGAAGTAAATGTCTTCTTGACCGATAATTGATGACTATACTGCTGCTAACATTGTTTGTTTAATTTACAGTAAAGCTGTTTGATGCTCGTCATAAAATGGTGGACAGCGCTAATGTCACCTTCACTACTTCAGCACCGTGTGTCTGTGCTGCAAGCTGCGGTTGTAGTGTGAGTAATTGGCAGATTAAGAAAAGATAACGCGACGACGACAGTGACAACTGCGCGCTCAGGTCTAGAAAAGGGGTCAACCAATGGCAGAGTGGCAAACTGATCGTCGCTAGTCGTGTTCAGTCCTTTTCGATGGCTTGCGCGTTCTAATTTGACTTAATTTGAGTTATCTTTGCTGAAAATGACTGTTCTAGTAAACGGCAAAGTGCATAGGTAGCCCTTTACTGTTTACAGCTCCGTCCCCCTTTTTACGTGGTTTTATTTAATGGAAGCGCGAAATGATGCGATTGTCTCAAAGCTCTCGGTCACCTGACCTGATTTACGGTCGAGGATCATTTGCGGTCTATTTGGGGATCATTTGCGGCCGGGAATCAGACCAAATCGGTCTGTAATCGTACGAGTGATGAACAGAGTCGGACAAGTGGGTAGCGGGAGTCTGATTTGTTTAATCACGATTATGATTACGGACGGAATTGGATGACACGAAGTCCTGTTAACAATCAATCATAAGTCACCATATCAATAAATCATAAGTACCATTGCCATTTCCGAGAAAACAAATTGCTTTCTTTTTTTGTGAAAGAGCATTCAATACTAACAATCCAAAATTAGGGAAAATAACACTGACAGAGGCACTGCTCAATTATACAAATTCGTCCATTTTGGAAAATCCCCAGTTTGGTCGGGTAAGTGGTTATTGTGAAAACGTCTGATTGGTGGATTTAGCTGAGTGCACTAAATATGATTGGCTGATGTAACTGTCCGATTACAGCCAACTGTCCGATTACACGTCCAATTACAACTCTACACAATAACTGGAGGCAAATTTTAGGAAAGTGTAGTAGTTATGATAAATATAATAACAACGCTTTTTGTCATCAGTGTTTATGTTTATGTTTTTTTCTCCTAGTGTTACGAGAGCGGATTCAAATGCGTAGAACGAGACGACAGAGATTGGGACGAGGAAAAACCAACTGATAGCGGCCTGGACTTGACCGGCGCTGTTGACATCTGGACAAAAATTAAAAACTATGCCAAAAAAATCGGCAAAATATTCAAGTTTTTCACTTCTCCTGGTGGTATTGCAAGCATTGTGGGAATACTGGTGGGTCTAGGTGCTCTCAAGGCCTTTATGGGCCTCAGGCGAAAGGGGGCCGCCGTGGCACGGTTTGGAATGGGCGGGGTCAAGAAGGGAAAGCATGAGAAGAGAGATAACACTGGTCAGATTATCATGGTGGAGTATAATGAACAAGGAGAAGAAATTGATCCTGTGACGTGAGTATAAAGTTAACTGTATTTTTCTTGATCATGTTTCCATTCTGGAACGGTCTAATTTGTCATTGATTATGCTGAAAGTAGGATTGAGTGGACACTCCTGGAATCCTTGCAGAGGTCGAGGAACCATCTTGATACTGGTTCTTGTTGCACAGAAAACGTGGAAAGAAAAGTTAGACTTACGTCCGCTCAGTATAGGTTCCGCTTAATAGAGGTTTCACATCTTTTTTTTATATCACCATGACAGTCACACTATTATAGAAAGTCAGCTTTATCTTTTTCATGGAGTTTTTCGCCTTTATCTTCTTAGCAAAGAAGTTACTAAGCCACGGAACAAGGCCAAAGAGTTTCTCTTCAACTTGGTTTTCTTCCTTTTTCTTCCTTTGTTGCTGTCATTTAAACTCTGCAAGGCGATTTTCAAATGCTGCTGTAGAAAAAAGCCAGCTTCGAAAGAGGAAACAGAAGCCAAGGATGAAGACAAGGAGGAAGACGAAATACAAGGCCCAGAGGTAGAGATTTTTAAGGAGAGGGATATCCTGAAAGATGGGAGTCCACCCCGCCCAAGCAGCCAAGTCAGCAGTGAACAAAACGTGACAGGAGTCAAGAGAAGTCATAGTAGTGACAGTAGCAGGGGTAGTTTAGTCATAAAGAAAAGCAAACATGGAAGTGAAGATGAGGGTATCATGACTGAAAATAGACGAGCTTCAACGAGTAGGAGAATTAGCTGGGCGAGGACGGAGGACAAAACACCATCGCAAGACTACAGAGAGGCGTCTATGCAGGAGACTGAGCCATCGGTAATTATCACAAATTAATCTTCACTCCCTCATACTTTAATCTCATCGCGCCTATCAGCCTTCTTCACTGGCGTTCATTCTAGGGGCTTGGCCTTTTTTAGTTGGAACGGGAACTCTGTCGGGGGCGGAAGAACCGTAGCTATATAAAGAAACGAAAGGAAAGTAGTATATAGGGTCGCAGTAAACTTTTTTTGCGGAATAAATTAACTTTGGCTACTTCAAAAATTTTTGTCTTAGTCCGTGTCATGAAGAGAAGAGAATCAATAAGCGTGCTGGAGTATTACAATACCGTGGAAACTTGCATGATGTTTTATTTATTAATTGTATGGCTGAATCCGAAGCGAATCCTGTGTTTTGATTGGCTACCTGAGCGGGCAAGAAGGGCCTATCTTTCCCGCTCGGGATTTCCCGCGTTGGTCCCGCAAGAGAAAAGGTCTCTTTTTGGTCATATAGTATATTATTTATTGACCAAGCTTGTTTCGTCAAGATAGCTGGATATTGGACTGTTTTTTTTTCTTTTTTCGTTTTTATTAACCTGGACTTCGTATCCCTCCACAAAAGTGCAAAAGTAAATTTGGCCAATATCCAGTCATATTGACCTCACGCTTGGTCAATAAGCATATGTAACGCCTCAGTGACATATGAATGACATTCCAGAGAGCGCCCAACGAGTGTGTCCCCTTAATTCTATACAATATCCAAAAAGGGGTAAATTGGTCCCTGCTATACTACTGAGGTACGAAGCCATAAGGCAAGGGCGCGACCTGAAGCAAACTACGACTCGCCTTCTACAGCCATTTCCAAACTAACCAAAATCAACATATTACATATGACATTCGCTTCACGCTGAATTTGTCATTTCTATTGCAGCCACCAGAAGACATTAAACTGCTGATTGACACAGTAGTTTATCATCAGTTTTACAACACAG